GGGAACATTTACAAATATTTTAAAATTCTTATCCTTTGATGACATGACAAGTATTGTATTTCACTTAGTTTACATGCTGATTTCCACATCACATCTAAACAATAAAATAAAGCTACCAGTACCTATGATATAACTCAGGTGACCGCTAAGGCCTTTGGGCCTCTTGTTATAAGGAAAGATCGTCAAATTGCATGGTCCGCCATTTGGAAAAGACGGGATTTTCTCCGGATCCATTTGTACACAGAACTCGGAGACAGATGAACATTTATAACTATTTAAAACTTTCTTCATTTTCACTGTAATGGGTTTTGGTGGTTTACATTGTACCATTGATATCAGTATATATATGTTTCATTGTAGTGCTGCAGTGCGTACCAGTACTGTGACAAACCCAGCAAGTGGAGCGAAACCCCAAGCTGATCCCAGTAAGGAGATACCAGCCCCAAAATCTAGGACAAAGTGTTTGGTAGAGGATGTGGTGAGTTACAATCAAATTTAGGAAGCTAATGTATATAATGTCTTCATAATGGAATGATGCACAAATTTTCAAAGGATTTTGCTGCCATGAGTCATCAACTGATTACAATGTTCTGTTAGAAAAAACCTCTTCCATAAAATGCCAAGGCAAAGAAATATTATTCTCTTCCAGACCTGGTCTACTTCAGAACAGATCATGTTTCAAACTGCAAGCTGATTGATTTAATGTCTTGGATATTTTATGACCCCTAGTGATCTAGCATGTTTACCTCTAATTCAAAAACATGACAATGAATCACCAACTGCCAAGAAATTCCATATGGAGCACTTTATATAGACAAGCGTGTGGTAGGGCCTTTGCTGACCTGTCACTGTTCTAGATACTTTGAGTCTTATGAGTGTTTTAATGTATACTGGTTGTCTACCACTACGGACATATCCGTATGGGCGAAACATGCTATTTCTAGTAACCTTTTCCGTGTTGTCACTTTTTTCTCCCATCACCAATGATCCACAATAGGAAAAATGATATTGTATAATCCTGCAATATCAGTTGTATGAAATGTTATTCCTTCATGCATTAACATAATATTTATTACATGTTCCTGAATGTAAACAATTACCAACCAATGACTCAAGTCACCTGTTGACAAACAGTGATCAGCTGTCTGCAAATGCTACATATTGAAACTGACAGATCAGGCAATACTGTGGACAATTTCATTGGTTTAGGACAATTTAAGTTTCTGTATATTACTTAACTTCTCCTCTATATTGTTCTGTATCTTGTTACTCCTGTATATTGTTCTGTATCTTGTTACTCCTCTATATTGTTCTTTATCTTGTTACTCCTCTATATTGTTCTGTATCTTGATTAATTGTTACTTCTCTATATTTTTCTGTATCTTGTTACTCCTCTATATTGTTCTGTAGCTTGTTTCTCCTCTATATTGTTCTGTATCTTGTTACTCCACTATATTGTTCTGTATCTTGTTACTCCTCTAAATTGTTCTGTATCTTGTTAGTCCTCTATATTGTTCTGTATCTTGTTACTCCACTATATTGTTCTGTATCTTGTTACTCCTCTATATTGTTCTGTATCTTGTTACAGCTGGCACTATTTGGAGATGCTGACCCTGAATATGTAAGGAGGATGGTGGAAATGGAGCTTCTCACTCAACGGCCTGACCACGAGATCGTCAACAACCTGTGTAACCTGCTTCTAGAGAACCATACTTATCCTCGGGTGCAGCCCTCGGCCACTGTCACCATCGTGGAAGTAAACAATACACCAGTAGGGTCACACCTTTACTATCATATCATTGTCTATTATATAAGTACAGTACACCAGTAGGGTCACTCCTTTACTATCATATCATTGTCTATTATACAGTACAGTACACCAGTAGTGTCACACATTTACTATCATATCATTGTCTATTATATAAGTACAGTACACCAGTAGTGTCACACCTTTACTATCATATCATTGTCTATTATATAAGTACAGTACACCAGTAGTGTCACACCTTTACTATCATATCATTGTCTATTATACAGTACAGTACACCAGTAGGGTCACTCTCTTTGTCACATACCTATAGAGCTAGTCACAAGTCTACAGTAGGTCACACATATTTACTATCATATCATTGTCTATTATATAAGGACAGTACACCAGTAGGGTCACTCACTCTCTTCGTCACATACCTATAGAGCTAGTCACAAGTCAACAGTAGGTCACACACATTTACGATCATATCATTGTCTATTATACAGTACAGTACACCAGTAGGTCACACACATTTACTATCATATCATTGTCTATAATATAGGTACAGTACACCAGTAGGGTCACGCATTTACTATCATATCATTGTCTATTATACAGTACAGTACACCAGTAGGGTAACGCATTTAATATCATATCATTGTCTATTATACAGTACAGTACACCAGTAGGTCACACACATTTACTAATACCTATAGAGCTAGTCACAAGTCAACAGTAGGTCACACACATTTACTATCATACCATTGTCTATTATACAGTAGAGTACACCAGTAGGTCACACACATTTACTATCATATCATTGTCTATTATACAGTACAGTACACCAGTAGG